ACTGAGGCTGGGCCACTATCAGGTGGGAGGCATCTCTGGGTCATGTGGCTGGGTCTGGCGGTGACGCGGTTGGTAGAAGTGATGCCGGCCATAGGGGTGCCGTGTGTAGAGAGCAGGCCAAGGCTTCTTGGCTTGTGGCCTGTCAACAGGCAGTCAAGAGTTCCTGGAGGCTGGCCCTCTTGACGGGTCCACATCTGAGTTCACTCGATGGCCTGACCCTGCTGCCAGGTGGGCCATGGCATGCAGCGTAGGGTGGGGCAGCCTTTGAGAAGATTCCCTGGCCCTGTGTCTTGAGGGTCTCCCTTTGTGTCTGTGTCCAGAGAGCAAGTTTCTTGCCAAGGGCTCTTGGCAAGTTGTCCAGGCCAGGGCCTTTTGCCCCAAGCTCTGGCTGCCTGCAGGATACTGAGGGGCATCCCAGGCCAGGAGTTGGGGCTCCCTTGAGGGGTGAGGCAGGGACTGCCAGCGAGGACTTGTGTGTGTTACAGGTGGCCATGAATGACCTATGCTTGGCAGGGCCCATCCAGGCTGTAGAGATCCAGGTGGAGAGCTCCTCTCTGGCTGACATGTGCAGGGCACACCATGCCATTGTTGGGCGCATGCAGGTATGGCAGCTGTTGGGGCCCGGGTGGGAAAGAGGCTGTGAGGGTTATGGGCTGCTTTGAGGATTGCACAGCTGCAGGCAGAATGGCCTGCAAGGGGTCAGAGGAGGAGGCATTGTGTGGACAACTGTGAGGTGTTGAGGAGCTCTCTCCAGCAGGGAGATACTACCTTCCAGATGTGCCCCTGGCTCCCAGTCTCCCCTGTCCAAGGCCTGCTTGAGCCCATGTGGTGATGGATTTCCACTTCCTTATGCCAAGTCAGCCTGAGGTCCCACGTGCCCTGACTGAGCAGGGGCTAGACAAAGTGGCCAGGCCTGGGTGTGGATTACTGGTGGGGTGCCTGTCTGCCTGCCTGCTCTGAGCACGGTGACTGGCCCTGGGGGTTTCCTAGAGCAGGACCAAGCCACGATGGTGCTGTACCCAGGTCCTGCTGGAGCCCGTGCTTCCAGGTCTGGGAAGTTCCTGTGTTCAAGTCAGTCTGACTGGTGCTCAGAGCAGGGTAGCCTCTGTCCACAGCCTGAGGTCCATTGCTCCACCTGCTGTGGCCATGGCACAGCCTCGGCCCCTGAAGCGGGTCTATAAGTTCCACTCCTAGCCAGTTTGGCACTGGGCTCTCAGCTCCAGCTCTATCGGCCTTATTTGGAGCTTGTCACCCTGCACTCTGGCTGCTCTGACCTGGCAGCTTCTGGGCCCCACAGTGTCCCAAGCCGGGTCACGAATGGAGGCCCTACCTAGGCCAGGCAGGTACTGTTAGCTCCGTTCAGAGCTCAGAAGGTTAGCTTGATTCTGGTTGATGTCATGCCACGACCCTACCATGACCCTGCAGCACATCCTATGAAGTGCTCATGGCACAGCATTGATTTCATTCCTGGACACAGGGTCCAAGCCTGATACTATGAGCTGGCAGGGTGGTGTCCAGGGCAGTGTGTGCCACATGTCAGAGGTAGTTCCATGCACAGGGCCAGCCAGTCCCCAAGAAAGTTCTGTCACCTGTGACCAGATCTTTCTTATAGGGACAACCTTGTTGGGATAGGTCCACCCTAATGGCCTCATCTTGGCCATCTACAAAGCCCCTCTTTCTACATACAGTTGGGTTTAGGGGTATTGAGGTTAGGACTCCCACATATGAATTGGGTCTGACAGTCACACACTGCAGCTGCTCTGTGGTTGGGAATCAGCATGATTGGTGACACCAGCATATACTGTGTGTGAGCATGGCCTAGATGGGCAGCTTCCACTGTGAGAAAGCCCTTCCTGGAGTTCCAAGCAGGCAGCTCATGCTTGGATGGCAGCTTTACTCCAGAGGGCCTTGTCATCCCTAGAAAGCTGCCAGGGGCCTTTGGTATTTGGGAAACCAGGCTGCCTTCAGGAAGAAGGAGCAGGCGGCTCGCCCTGTGCAGGCCTGCTGTGTAGACAAGCAGGTGGGCTGGATGGGCCCTTCAGCTTGTCTGAGCTGAGGACAGAGTGGGCAGTGGGGAGGTTTGGATGTGAGCAGGGGAAGGGCTAGGATTAGTAGAAGGGTTAGTTACAAGTAACTCCAGGGAGCACTGGGGATTTAGCTCAGGGCTGGGGATTTAGCTCAGCGGCATAGTGCCTGCCTGGCAAGTGCAAGGTCGTGAGTTCGATTCCCGGTACCGGGGAAAAAAAAAAAAAAAACCAACCAAACAAACAAACAAAAAACAAGTAACTCCAGGGGGCCCCTGGGCAGGACCTAGGAGCATGCTTGAGGTGTGTGACCCAGTCTCTGGTCAGGGAGGCAGATAAAAGGCTTGGGGCAGATAAGAGGAGGTGTCACTTGCTCTGCACATTGTGAGGACAGGGCCTCCAGATGCAGGCTCCCACCTCAGGGTGCAGTGGGAAGTACCCTCTCTAGCACCCCCACAAACCCCTGTGTCCCCCAGACAATGGTCATGGAGCAGGCTGCCCGGGGCTCCAGCCCACCTGACCTCCGTGTACAGTATCTCCGCCAGATCCACGCCAACCATGAGGTGAGTGTTCCCATCTGGGCACCTGCACACAGTTGCTGAAAAGACACCCAGCCAGCCAGGGCTGGCCTGCCTTCAGGGGAGTAGCTTGGTTCCTGGGCAGGAGCAGAGTGGGTAGGGTCATAGCTGTTTCCTGTCTCTTGCCCCATCTGTTCTTCCAGCCAGACCCACCTGGCTGCATGTCCCATGTTTGAGGTCATAGCCCAGTGTTCCTCCTTGGACCTTCCAAGTATGGGGACATCCCCAGAGAGGTGCAGGGTCTGAACTGTGTTGCCTACAGGCGCTGCTGCGTGAGGTGCAGAGCCTGCGTGACCGGCTGTGCACTGAGGATGAAGCTGGCTCCTGTGCCACGGCCCAGCGGCTCCTCCAGGTGTACAAGCAGCTGCGTAGCCCCAGCCTCGTCCTGCTGTGAGCAGGTGGGTCCTGGCCTCTGTCAGTCCACACTGATAAACCAGGGCTTTTGTGGTTTTACAGAGAAAAATTTAGAAACAAGAGGCTGTGCTCTTGGCTCCTTGCTCAAGAGGAACATGGCTGGGCCAGAGCCACATGGGGCCACAGAAGGCACAGGGAGGGCTGGAGGAGATAGGCCTCAGGTGTATCTAGGCCACATCTGGACCCAGGGGCTTGACACCCCTCACTCTTCCCTTCTTCCCCACAGCTGCCATACCGCGCCTCGTCACAGCAGGGTGTTCCTCGCGTGGAGTCCCCGGGCTCATGCACAGCATCCCTCCACTGGACGTTCCAGACCTCAATCAGAACCACTGCTGGCCCAGTGGGAAGGCCATGGAAACACAGGGATTTTGGGATCAGGACTGGGGGTTTGTAACTGTTGTCCCTTGCTGTTCGCACCACATCCCAGGAGCTCCAGCAGCCCCTCTTGGGCTGCCAGGTGGGAAGGTGCTCCCTGCAACCAAAGCACAAAGCCCTGCCAGCACCAGTGCTTCCTGCTGTGCTGAGGAAGGACTGTGGTGCCCTGTGGCCAGAACCTCAGCAGTAAGGTGCCTGCTGCCAGGGCTGCACCCAGCACTGTGCTCTTTTCAGGATCACCTGGGGGTGGGGCCTGTGGCCCAGGCAGCTCAGTGGCCCAGCCGCAGCCTGCCCCCTTGGCCTGGTGCTGTTTTTACTACTAGGGATGACCATGTTCTGAACTCTGCGGCACTGTGTGCCCACTCCTGCTGTGACCTGTCTGTAATGAGTGTATGTGGGCACTGCAAGGTGCTTTACTGACAAGTGACCCTTTTTGTTGAGCTCTAGGTCTCGGCTTATTTTTCCCCCTTTCTACTCTCAGGTGACAACCTGCCCCCTCCCAGGCTTCACAGGACTCCTCACAGAGCTGCGGTATCTGGATGATGGAGCCCTGCCAGCTCCTCATGGCCAGGGGAAAGAGACCTTGCCAGACGGTCTGAGCGAGGGGTCACCCTTGCAGCACCCAGCTACTCTGGGCTGCTCACTGTCCAGGCCAAGGGCCTAGGAGAATAGTCCCACCTGCTTCCCCCGTCCACACCTGAGGGCCACTCTCCTGTCCCCTCCCAAGTGGAAGCCTCTATCTTCAGCCATTGCCCAGTGCTCGTGCCCACATCTTGCTCTGAGCAGCACCAAGCAGGAGAGGGGCTAGAACAGCACACAGGGCGGGCAGAAAGGTGCCCTGTCCTAGGCTGCTGGCTGCTGCACCTTCCTATGCCCTCAGTGGCGATAGCAGACTGCAGGGATCCCAGAGCTGACAGACTTGGGCTGCCTGCGGAGCTCAACTCCCAGACCCTGGCAGGTGTTAGGAGTCAGTGTAGATATCCCAGGGATCCACGATGCCTGCCAGCTTCTCCAGGAACAAGACCGACCCCACCACCACTGTGACAGTGATGACTCCAGAGTTAAGGTGACCACCTGGCTGTACTGGCCCTGGTGGGTGTTCTCCAGGGGCACCTCCTCTGAAGGTTGCCCTTTAAAAGCAGAAATAGTGGAGCAGAGTCACATGGTTCCAGCCGGCTCCAGCACCTCCCTGGCACCTCCCCAGCTCCTTCCTGTGCCAGTTTTAGCTAACACTAGGGGGCGCTGAGGGCCACGGGACAACCTGAGTTCTGTTTCCAAGGTCAACTGTACCCCGTTGGACACTTGCCTCTTGGCCCCTCTGGGGAAACTAAGGGCAGGTCCCTCCTCCGTAAGTAGAAGGGGCAGAAGTTCCCATTGCCTGTCCCCAACCTGGGTTCTGTAGCCCCTTCCTGTTTACTCAGCTAGCCCTGTTTTACCGCCCCCCCCCCAGGTTCTTATCTTCACTGGGTGTCCCCTGTCTTGGGCAACAGACTTACAGCAGGGGACTTCTGCACCCAGGCTTGGAAGGGGCTGCCTGTGGCAGGGCAGGGAGCTCCTATTTCAGAAAGGAGCTCTAGGCCAGGCGAGGCAGCCTCTGGAGCAGGGTGGGGAGGGGGCTTTCTCCTTGGGGCTCTCTAGGACAGGGGTCCCAGGACTGAGCCTGCAGGGGTTCCCCTCAGCCCCAAGCAGTGCCCAGAGCTTCAGTAGCCTGTGCCATAAACACAGTTTAATTCAGGGCTGGTGGACCCTGTACCCCAAATTGTACTTGGTGCTGGTCCTCAGTACTCCCAGAGTGCCACCCCAGCAGGCACATCGGCGTCAGCGCGCAGCAGTCCTGAAGCCCCACCACGCAGGTACTTGCCGCTTCGGGCTCGGATGGCCAGGCGGCCACGTTCGCGAAACTCAAAGAGGAAGTCCTCAGCGCGCTCACCATCACTGCACACGGTTCCATGGCTGCCTGTGTACCAGAACCCGCCACCACGGCCTGGCGGGGAGCTGGGGGTCGGCGGGGGCCACCATGCATACCATACCTGTACCCCCACTCCCTTATGCATGGCTTACACACCCAACATTCACTCCCGCGCACCTCGAATCTGATAGGCACCATCGCTGAAGCTCAGGTGGAAGACGTCGTACGCCGACCGGTTGGTGTCCAGCTGGTTGGAGCCGCGCCGGTGGCAGACAAAGCCATCCAAGCCACGCAGCACCAGGATGGGCCGGTTGATGAGCTTGAGGACAAACTCCTCATCCTCACCTGTAGGAGAGGGCACCATGGGGACCCGGCTGCCACCTTTCCTGCCCAGATAGCCCAATGGGGTCCCTGAGATAAACCCCAGCCTTGGACTTGAAGGCCCAGTTCTCCCGTTGTCCAGTGTGTGACTTTGGTGAGGGGCCTTGAGCCATGAACTTAGGGATCTCCAAGCATACAAGGAATTAAAGAGAGTCCCATAGTTCCCAGAGGTGCAGTGGAGGAAAGGATAGGTGACCTGGGACCCACATGCTCCCCAGAAGGACTGTCTAGGTGGTAAATGTGACTGTTGTCACAGTGGCAGCAGTTCTAAGGGTGGAAGGAAAGGGGCACTTTGCAGAGGCACTTTGCTGGGGGAGAGCCCGCCCCAGCCCCTAGGAGTCAGAGTGCTCACCCACAAAATCACTGATGGCTGCTAGCTGCCCATTCTTCTTCATGCACACATAGCGCCCATTGCTGGCTTTGAGTGCCACCCGCCGGCCACGCCATTCTACCTCAAACATGGTGTTGGCAGATCTAAGGGGAACAGGGCAAGGTCCCCTCAGAGCAGCAGGAGATGGGGATGCAGGGTTTTGACTTCCCCATCCCCCTCAGGTTCCAGCAGATGAGCCAGGAGCCTTCCCTCCACCAATACCCACCACCATTAAGAGCTGCCCCAATGGGCGTTCTTCCTAGCTGAGCTCTTTAACAGTGGTCCTCACAGTTGAGGTAGTGATGGTGGCCATGATGATGACAGTAATGATGTCAGAAGAGGTAGTGATGAGGATGATGGAGGTAGTAGTAGAGGTGATGATGATAATGGTGGGGGAGATGATGGAGGTAGAAGTGGTAGAGATTGAGATATGATGCTGGTGATGGAGTGATGATAGAGATGGTGGAGGTAATGGAGATGGGGGTGAGGATGATGCTGGTGATGGAGGTGGTGGGGGAGATGATGGAGGTGGTGGTAATAATGGTTGAGGCAGCAATGATGGTAATGGTGGAGATGGCAATGGAAGTGGTGGTAGAGATGATGGAGGTGGTGGTAGAAGTGGAGGTGAGTATGATGCTGGTGATGGTGGAGGTGGTAGAGGTGATGGGGATGGTAGAGGTAGTGATAGAAATGGTGGTAGAGATGAGAGATGATGATAGAGGTGGTGGTAGAGGTGATGGTGGAGATGGTGATGGCAGAGATGGAGGTGAGTATGATGCCGGTGATGGTAGAGAAGGTGAGGGAGGTGTTGATAGAAGCAGTGGTGAAGATGGAGGTGAGTATGATGTCAGTGATGCTGGAGGCAGGGACAGGCACACTCACACTTGCGTGGCTGTGGCCTGAATGCCTCCGTGGGCGACTAGGGTCCAGTAGCCCCCAGTGCTGGAGTAGAAGGTACACTTCTTTGTCTCCTGGTCAATTTGCATCAGGAAGGTCTCGTGGTCCAGCTCCTCGTCCTGATTGGCTGAAACATTGATGCCTGGAGGAAGGATATGGGGAAGTGCCTTATACCTCTTCTGGGAGAGGAGGCATGCTTTGGGGGGACTCCTGAAGCAAAAGGGAGTCAAATCCAGAACTGTCTGAGTTTGATTTGGAAGACACTTCCAAAAGGATCTGGAGGGGGCTGGGGATTTAGCTCAGCATCGCAGCACCTGCCTGGCAAACACAAGGTTGAGTTCGGTTCCTGGTACTGGAAAGAAACCAAAACCAAGCGGGGGGGTTGGGGGGGAAGGATCTGGAAACTGCATCAGGACCATGGGGCACTGGCAGACCCACACATGGCCCCTAAGGGACCCTTGACCTAGCCCTTCCCATATGTAGAGCCAGACCCTTCCGTGCCAGCAAATCCCCACTCTGTTAATCAGCAGGTAATCTGCTTGTTTCTCCTGACCCAGGATTACCCCAGCCTCTATTTATAGCTCCCACCTAAGCTGCTGGTGGACACAACAGGTCTCCGTCTTTTTGCACAGAGAGCCCAGGGGTCAGGCACGCACACCTACGCATGCTCTTGTTCTCTAGGGGAAGCCAAGGGAGGACCACTCTGCTCAGGTCTCTGGCCCAGGTTCCCAGGAAGACAGGAGGGGGCATCCATGCACAGGGCTGAGGGCAGTAGGCAGGTACTGACCTCTGCAGGATCCTCCCTCCTGCAGACATCTCTGTTTCCCTGGCAACTGGCCATTCTAAGCAGTGTGATAAGTTCCATTGCCCCCCCCCCCCGGGTCCAGGGTTCAGGAGTGTCTGGCTAGGGGAAGGGGAGGTGTAGGAAGCAGAGCCCCATAACAGTCTGAGAGTGCATCCTAATTGGTGCTACCAGGGCTTGGGGATGTAGCCCAGTGGCACAAGTGCCTGCTTGGCAAGCACAAGGTCCTGAGATCCCTGGTACCGCAAAAAAACAAAAAACAACAACCCCCCCAAAAAAAACTAATTGGTGCTACTCCTAAAGGAGGCCACAGGCTGGGATCTGCTCCTTTTTATCAGCACCCAAAGGCCTGGCCTCTCAACCCCAACTTCAGAAGCAGTTGATTCGTCCTGTGGAAGGAGTCCAGGTCTTCACCACCACCCTAGCCCCATCATCCCTGCAGCAAATACTGAACTGGGTGAGCAATTTCCAGTCTGAGCCAACAGACTCCAGACCTGTACCTTCATCATGCAGGAGTTGTAAGCAGAGGACATGGAGAATGCAGGCAGTCCTAGATGGTTAGGGCTGTGTGCCATGGCGGAGCCATTGCTTAGAGACAGGGACTTTTGAGCAAAGAGCCTCCTGCAGGGACCAAGCCAGGAGCTTGTCAGAGGACCTTGACTAGATGTGCCCAGTGTCACCATCACATGGCTCCATGGCCACCGCTGCATCTCCCAGGTCGTGAATGCTGTGTCCCCATGTCACCCCACACACTGCTGTGTGCATCTTCTCCTCACAGGCCCGCCTGCTCCTAGGGAACTGACCACGCAGTGGGGAGCATGGAGTCCAGATTGGCCTGGGTAGTACTGACTTATCCCACGCTACAGGGGACTGTTGACCAGGGAGAGAGGATGCTCATCTCAGGCCAAAGAGTATGAAGGGGTATCTACTAGGGTCCAGGGGAGATACTTTCCTACTCTTAAGTAGACATAAGAGCTGACCCTTTTTCCTCTGGATTCTGACTTATCTGAGTATGAAGCCCAGAACTGTAGCAGCCATCTTATGACCACGAGAATGTCAGCCTGAGGTCAGAGCTGACCCGCAACAGTGGCTCAGCAAGGAGCTAAGAACAGAGGCCCTTGATGATCACACAGAGCTGGCAATGGTGCCGGCTAGGCATCCATAATCCAGGGCTTCTAGATGCCCGTTTATAGGAGATAATTGATCTTTTTGTTTTATTTTGCTTTCTTCTTTGAAACAGGGTCTTGTTATGTAGTTCAGGCTGACCTTAAACTCACTAGGCTGACTTCAAACTTGTGGTGATCCTCCTGCCTCCCTGGTACTGGAATTACAGGCCCATGCCACCATGCCTGATTCTTCAGTCTCCTTATTGTTTGAGTCAGTTTGTGGCCAGTCTTCTATTACTGGCAGCAACGAATGCTGGCTGCTATGCTCCCCATCAGTCAGCAGTGCTATACCAGCAAAGGCAGACTGGGTGACAGAGCCAGTAAGTTAACAGCCAGGAGTGGCACATGCCTGTGATCCTAGAATTCAGGAGGCTGAGATAGGAGGATTGCTGCAGTTTTGAAGCCAGACTGAGCTACGTAGTGAGTTCAAGGCCAGCCTGAACTGCGTAGTGAAACCATGTCTCAGAAAGAAAAAAAAAAAAAAAAAAAGAAAAAGGAAAATGTAACAGCTAACCTGAGTCTAGGCACAGACTTCCTAGGCACAGCTAGCACCACCAGCCCTCAACTATCACAAATGTAGGGGCTGCCTGACAGGGCTGACACCAGAGCCCTGCAGTGTGGCCACTCCAGGACACAGCTTGACAGAAGACATGACAGAACCCAGTTCCACATCTCCAGCTTAGCTCCTTGAATCTAGGCTGGCCCCTCCTCCTCCACTTGTGTTTCCTCCAGGACTGAGATGCCACAGCCAGCTTCTTTACATTGTTGTCAAAGTCTGAAACCTCGGGCGGGGGAGGGCCCAGCACCCTCAGCTGCATTGCAAGGATGGGGAGTGCCTGGTGAGGGCAGCCTCTGCTCCTCGGTAAGGGACTCCCCCCAACTAAGGGATGTGTCAGATACGAGGCAGTCAGGAGACCAAGAATCATTCCGTACAGCCATTGTGTCTACACTGACTTCCTCCACATCACCATCATCACTGCAGCTACCACCACCGGCCTTCAACCATCACTGCAGCTGTCACCTCTGTCATCCCCTCTGAGAAGTTACTGCCACTATAACTACCACCTCCACCGCCGTCACGACTTCTCTCCATTCCACCACACCATTGTGATCACTGACACCTGTGCCATGGCCATGAGCACCACTACCATCACTACTGGCACTGGGAATCTCACAGGCTGTCGCTTACAAACACTTCGGTGCCCAACAGTAGCTCCCACAGGAAGCCCTCCTGCCATCACTACCCCACTTAACTGAGAAGTACATAGACCTTGGTCCAGGCCACAAAGTGGTGTGGCTGCACCATAGGATGGTGATGGGAGGGAAGAATTGTAACTGTATTCTCCATCAACTTTGCTGCCTGGCCATGTGCTGGGACAAGTGCTCATGGGTGACTGATCCCTGTTGCTGAGCTACACTGGCCTGAGGACACCCCACTTGCAGGTGCAGGCTGCAGGCATGACTGGGCTCCAGTCTGGGTATTCCTGCCTGCCCTCTACCATCTGGACCAAGATGCGGGTGCCCAGACATGACCTCCCATAGTGCAGGGCAGGGCTTGGTGAGCATATGGGAGCTGGCTTTTGCCTGGTGGCTGCTGGCCTGAGGCAGGGGTGCCTGGCCATTCTAGGACATGTTCTGGGTGCCCAGGTGGGCAATGCCTGTGACTGCTGGCCTGTCTCCTGCAAAGGCAAAAGCAGGCAGATTGTGGATGACAGAGCCAGCAAAAGTAAGTTAGCATCCAGGAGTGTGGCACACGCCCATGATCCCAGAAAGGCTGCTTTGAGACCCTTGCTATCTCATTGGGGACTGCTGTGTTTGTCCTGGGTGATGGGGAGACCCAGGCTGCACCACAGAGACAGAGATGGCACTTTCCTTCGAGAAGCCCAGGGCCCGGACAGGGCTGCCTGCTCCTGTGTCCACCATCCCTGGGACCACATGAGGCTCCCATAGTCAGACACATGGAGGCGCCATCTCCTTGCCCTGCTCTGGCCGGCCCCCACCCTAGTGTCCATCAAAGTCCAGAAAGTCTGGTGGCGAAAGAGAAGGGGTAGAGCTTCCATGGGCTCCTGCCACCTCCCAGCTGTCCTGAGAGGCTAGGAACCCTTCTCTGACGCTGGGCCCCGGCCCCACCTATGCTGTGTGTGTACACACACATCCCATGTGCATGCGCGCCCACACAGAGTCCAGTGGCCTGGACCTCCTACCTTGCCTCACAGAAACGTAGCGGCGGTTGGCGGCCACCAGTACCACCTGTGGGTGACTCTCCTCCAGATCGAAGAGCTCATCCTTGCCAGGCCGTGTGTTGCGGCCGGCCTTGAGTGTGCCTGCAGGTCCCACAGGTGCCAGGTAGCGGCCGTCACAGTCCTTGAAGGCCAGCTTGCCCGCCTTGAATTCCAGTGTGTAGCACGCGTGGGCCTCGGGTTCCCACACCAAGCGGCCATCACTGCGCAGGTAGCGGCTGTCACAGGACCTGAGGCAGTATCGCCGGCTTTGGAAGATGAGAGTGAGCAATGCATCCACACCCCATGGCATGTCCCCATCTGCTGCCATCTCGTCCTCCTGTGGGCACAGGTGCACATAGCGCCGCCGGCTGACACTCAGCAGGTGGGCCTGTGGGTGGATGGCCAGGTGCACAGTCCACAGCTCTGCAGGAGAGATGGCCGTGGCAAAGCAGGATAACCGGTCCTCAGTGCCACCAAAGAAGCGGCCGTGTGGCTCCGACTGCAGCACCCAGCGCCCGTCAGGTTGTGGCAGGACCAAGAAGCGGCAGTCGCGGCCTGGCTGCTCTGCCTCACAGGCCACACGCCCGTCCTCCTCTGCTGACAGGTAGCGGCCCAGATGGCTGCTGCGGAACAGCACTGCCGTGCCCTGCCCGGGGTCAGGCTCCAGCACCCACACCTGCTTCCTCTTGAGGCTGGGAGCTGAGGCATTGACCTTGAAGCCAAAGCTCTCAGCTGTTAGGTAACGGTCAGTGTCATTGACAAGACCAAACTGGATCTTCAGCACCTGGTGCAGGCCATTGGTCGGCATCTTTGGAGCTGGCCAGGACCCTCAGGAGCCTGGGAAGCTCAATCGAGTGCTCACAGTCCTCGAGGCCCTGAGCCCAGGCAGCGTCATGGACCCACCACCTTCTCTGCCACCTCTGATCAGCAGCCTCGGCCACCCAGGCGGCTCTTACATGGCCAGTGGGCAGCAGAGGGCGGGTTGGAGGGAGGATAAGAGACGTGCGGCTTAGGAGCCGCGGCTGCCTTTCATTACCCCCAGCTTGGATTTCAGCTGCTCCTGGAATGCACTGGCCGTGCCTGATGCCCTGCAGGATCACAGAGCAGTGCTGACCACCTTTGCTCCTCAGTGTGGCTGTGCAGGACCCAGGGCTTGGTCCTTACTCTTCACCTGCAGCCGCCCCACCTCTAGCCTCTCTCTTTTTTGCCCTTACCTTGGGCACCCTCAACCCCACAGTTCAGACTCCCAGCCCAGCACCACTCTTTCCCAAGGTAGAAAAAGTCACCCAGTGGAAAACTCACAGCACAGCTGCAACCCGATCACAGCCCTCCACCCTCAGCACCGCCAGATCGTCCGGGGGATCTAGTTACTGCTTCTCTGATTCCCGCTGCCGGCAGCATGCAAGGCCCCCCACCTGGCAGTCTGCAGCCACCACTCCAGCCACACTGCTCCTGCAGCCCCGGGCCTGGCCCTGCCCTCGTTGTGGCCCTGAGCCATGGGCTGGGAAAGAGGCAGGATGGCTGTTGCTGCAATGATAGGGCCAGGACTGGGGATCTTGGACCCTTGACTGAGGCAGGGCATGGCAGTGTATACACTTGCATGCTGGCTGCACTGGTGAATGGCCCAGTTTGGTAACAGTGGGCAAGGGAGACTAATGACTACCTCGAAGGCTGTCATTGCAGAAGTTCACCTGTCAGGTCAGAGGACCAGGGCCTGGCCAGCTTCTGCATGCTGAGTGTAGGTTGGCACCAAGAGGTTGCTCCTCCTCTGCAGTGAGCTCAGTGTGATACCAGACTCAAGCAGCCTTCAGCAGACTTGCCGGGTGGCCTTGGGGACCCAATGACTGCCACTCAGATCACCAGGGCAAGCCAGGTACAATGGTGCATTCCTATGATCTCAGCTATTCAGAAGGCTGAGGCAGGAGGATTGCAAGTTCAGGCCAGCTCAGGCAATTGAGCAAGACCATGTTTTTTTTTTTCTCTTCATGTCCTTTTTTTTTTTAAAAAAAGGACTGAGGTTGTAGTTCAGTGGCAGATCACTTACCTAGCATGCATGAGGCCCTGAGTTCAATTCCCAGTACTGCTAAAAAAATAGAAAAATAGCCTGGGAAACTAGCCTGACTTTAGAGTCTTTACAGACTAAAGTCCAGGGGCCCATGTTGGGCCAAGTCTGATCCACACTGCCAGAAGTGCCCTTTGGGATCTGACAGGGTGATGAGACTGCAAGCTCTTCACCCTTGACCCTGTCACTTTCAGCCCTGGGGCTGGCCAGCTGTCTCCCTGCAGCCTTGGCCTGAGGGTCATCCTGAGAGGGGGTGTAGGGTCTGCTCAGGCGGGCCAGGCCTGCCTGTCACCGGCACCTGCCTTAGGGGCTGGGAGCCAAGTGAGGAAACTCGAGCTGCTCATCCTGGGCCAGGGCCAAACTTGGTGTCTTCTTCCTCATAACAGCATGTGACCCTCAGGCTTTGCTGGGGACTAGGAACAAGGCCACAGGGCATTTCCAGCCACAGCCTCCTGTTGCTCTTCTGTTCTCCTGGGTGCTCTTCCTCTTGAGTGGCGGAGGAGCAGACAGCCCTGCACTGGGTGCCATTTAGGAATGTGTATGTGTAGGGCCTGGAGCCTTGACAACACCAAGGATCTGAAGGGACCTGGGGCTTGGGGAGAGAGCTGCACGCAAGTCCCTGCTGATCTCGGGCCACCCTGTGGAACACACACATCTGAGAGGCACCAGGCTGTCTGTAGCCAGGCTGTGTGCCAAGAACAGTCCTGTGGTGATGCAGTCTAGATGACACCTCCTCCCCAAAGACAGTGCCCAAGTGCCCAACACAGTGCTTCCATGATGCCACACTTAAGTTCCAGGCTGGAAAGTGTCTCTGACTTGGGGCACAAGCCAACCATGCTGCCCACATGCAGGTCCCCCCATCAGGTCCTGTAGGCATGTCTGTGCATGGTGTGGACATAGGTGTGTCGACCCAGCTGTGGACACTAGCTACCACCTTCAGTCTAAACCCCAGCCAGGCTGCAAAGGAACCCAGGATGTCCTGTCCCTTGATTGGCATCTAGGCCTTATTAGTCTGATAGCGCTGGCAGGGCACTCGTGGGAATCAGGTGCCAGCAGGAGAAAGCCTGGCCACCAGGCGCTAAGCACCCTGGCTCTGGATAGCCTCTTGGTGAGAGAGTAGTGGCTGCGGGCACTCAGTTCTGTGCCCTGAAGCTGCAGGACTGTGTGAGCCAAGGGGACCTGTGGGGCCCAGGGGAAGGGGCTCCCTTGGAGGGAAGCAGTTTGCCCTGGTCCACTCTGACCTCCACATAGCCCCTGGGACTCTAGTGTGGCTGCTTCTGGGGAGCAGTTTCCTCTTGGACCCCAGCAAGGTCTCTAGTACACAGCAGGCACTTGCCAAGTGCCCATGACTGGTATGGGGTCTGGTTCTTTTCTTTTTTTTCCAGTATCAGTAATCGAACTCAGGACTGGGTGTGGTTCTTTTTAAACTTTATTTATTTATTTAGCAGTACTGCAGATTGAACCCAGGGGTGCACTATCACTAAGCTAGATCCTCAGACCTTTTTATTTTTACAACAGGCTCTGACTAAGTGACTAAATCCCCCAGGCTGATCTCAGACTTGCCCTTAGCTTTCCAGAGTTCTGGGATTACAGGCATTCACCATTCTGCCTACTTTGGCGCCAGGGGCATGGGGCTGCTTCTTGTGTGATGGGCTTAGCTTCTGCAGAAAGATGGGACACCCTGTGTGTGTGTGTGTGTGTGTGTGTGTGTGCACGCGCGCACAAGTGCGTGTGCTTGCGCAAGTGCATGTGAGGTTGAGCTGCCATGTTCACCTGCTAAGCCTGCCTGGCCCATAGAGATAGTGCCCTTCCCACAGCCTCAGAGTCCACTCATCCCTGCTCAGCAGCACGATCAGGTTGTGCACTGCTCAACAGAGCTTCCTTCAAGGCAGTGTTCACACACCAGATGTCCACTACATACCAGAACCCCCAGCTGGCCTCTCCCTACTGTGTTCTCCCACATGCAGTAGCTAAATGTCTCTGCTATGTGGTCCACATGGCTGCACTCTGGAATGGGTCAGAATTAGTTGCTGCTGCCCTGGGAGCCCCACTGGCCTGCCCCCACTTGGAACCCAGGGTAGAGGAGAGTGTGTGTCCCCTGGGTGGCCATCTGTGGCACCAGCACCAGGCCTAGGCATGGATAAGGCTGCCCAGAGACTCCAATGCAAATATGTTTATCTTGCGGGAGGGGCATCTTTTGTGATGGGCAGTGAGACCGGTTGGGTGCCAGCCCCCCAGCATCTACCTCAGGGGAGCTGGCTGCAAGGGGACATGTGGCTGAGCTCTCCTAAGCACAACTGGGTCCAAGAGCAGAGGTAGCCTCAGCTATCAGAATGCCCCTGCCCTCTGAGTGGGGGTCCAGCAAGAGCCAGGAGCAGAGAAAGCCTTAGAGCCGCCCCACTCCACCCCCCTCCCTACCCTGGAGATCTCTAGAAACCTTTCTTCAGATGCTGCGGTAGTGGCTGTTCTGGACCCTGCAGGTCCCTGCCACTCCCAACCTTCCTGGCCCAGCCAGCCTCCCTGGGGCTAACAGGGGAAGGACCTGGCCCCCTTGTCTAGATGGCAGCCCTAGAACACAAAAGCCCAGGCTAGATGCTTGTAGGCATCTGCCTGTTACCATGGCAACCAGCGTATGCACCAGGCTAGGTGCCCTGGGAAATGTCCATGGTTGTGGTGTGAGCTAAGCTCCCTCCTGCACTGGCCCAGGACCCTGGAAACGGGAAAGTGGAGCTGGGGCAGCACCACCACTGTGGCCTGCCCGGCACAGTTCTACACCCTCCCTGCAGGGAGTGAGGAAAAAGCCCTGTGGCCCCAGCCACTTCCCAGAGCCCCCTGTCATTCGCAGGCCCTAGTGGGTGTACTCTGGCTGGCATCTCCCCACCACGCCCTTGACCAGCCTCTGCTGGGCCCTGGTGTCCCTTTTGGCCCTCTGTCCCCCTCCATGGCTCTGCAGTGAGGAAGGACCACCCTGCTGGCCAGGGAAACACTGGGGAAAACCCAGGGGGCCCTGATTTCCTCCCTCCCTGGGGTCCTGCTCAGCAGCTCCCCCTCCCTGAACCTGGCTGTGCTTGGCGGCCTCATGATTTTTTCATGGCTGAGTTCTCCGTTCCCTCCAGTTCCACTTACAGGGCTGGCCATGAAGGGGCCCCTTTTCTTACTCTGACTTGGGTTGGTTTACTGAGGCCTGAAGGCCTGGTTTAGGGTGACAGGCTCTACTTGGTGGGGGGTGTCGGTGCTGGGATGAAGAGCATGTAGAGGAGCTTGCAGGCTCAGCCTGCCAGGGCGCCCATACCCCACTCAGGTGTAGATCAGTGGCACTGCACCTTTGGCCTCACACACATGCAAAACAGCTCCAGAAATACCTGCAGCCCTGGTTGTCCCACACCTTCAGCAAGAAGCTGCAGTCTCCAAGCTTTTGTCTCTTGTAAATCGCTAATGTCTCTGGGCAGGGGGCCATGCCTGAAAGGGCACCTGCAGAGGCTCAGAGGTAGGAGAGGAGACCAGAGGCCTCTGAAAACCCAGGGCCCCAGCAAGGGCAAAAGGTCCAAAGGGCACACAAGAGCAGGCCTGAGGGCAGTCAGCAAGCCCAGATAAACCCCTGACTGAAGCAGCAATTCTTCAACACATTTCTGCAACAGGGAACAACATTCACCAGAATATCTTCTCATGAGCCCCTAGCTTCGTGGGACCAGATCACCTCCCAGAAGACAGGTGGCTGCTTTACCGCTCAGCTGGGCTTACAGACC